AAGATTATATTTAAAATATAATAACTTATATAAAATTTGAGTTCTTCTCCGAGACTCCAGGTTTTTTAATAAATAAAACTAATAAAATAGCGGGTAATAAGCTTAAAATCTTTTTTAGATTTTTAAGTAATTATTTATGGAGGACATATAATTTATTCTAATATATATTATATAAAAATTAAATAAAAAACCTTTCTTGTTTTCTAGGATAATAATATAATTATAATTATAATAAAAGAAGAATTTCTCTACTTCTTTAAATAAGAAAATATCAATAAAATCCTTAAATTTATTAAATAATACAAAATCTCTAGTATTAAAAGTAGATTATAAAATATTATTAATTTAAGCTATAATAATAATATATATTAAATAATTCTAGTATATATAAGCCGCGTAAACTATAATAAAAATTAGTTACATATTTTAATTCTTTAAAAGTAGAAGACATATAATATATATTAAAAAATATATTAGAACGTTATATAAGATATTAATTTTAATTAAATAAATAGATATACTATAATATTAGTAATAATATAACTTAATAAAGTAAATTATATATTTAATAAAATTTATTTAAAAGTTATAGATCTTCAGCTAAAATAAATTAAATATAATTAAAAAATAGACTAGCTGGGTAATTAAAAATAAAATATCTTTTTTTATATAATTATAAATCTTTAAAATTATATAAGTATAATAGATAATTATTCTTAATTCATTTTTTTAATTATTAAATCTAATAATAGATTTTAAATAGTTTAGTAGATATCAAAATAAATAATAAAGTTTTATTTAATTTTTATCTCTAATATATAATATTGAATAACTAGTATTAAATATTATATATATAATAATTCTTTTATTAAGATTTAATATAATAATTCTTTTATTAAGATTTAATATAATAATTCTTTTATTAAGATTTAATATAATAAATATAATTATTAAATTAGTTCTTTAAAATTTCTTCTTAATAAGAAGTTCTCTAATAATAATATTAGAATATAAATATATAAAATAATATTTTCATAATAATAACTTAAATTAGATATAATCTTTTTAATTACTTACTAGGATTAGAAGAATATAGTTATTTTAATAATATTACTATTTTTAATTATAAAATAAGGATAGAAAATCTTATATTAAATAAATTTAAGATTTTCTTTATTAAGGGTTTAGTCCGCGCAGGTAATAATTAATAATAAAAAAAAACTAGATTTATCTTAATAAAAATAAATAAAATATATAACTAAAATATTAAACTAAGATATTAGATTTAGGATAATTATAGATTAAATATTAATTAATATTATAGTAAAAATATCTTTTTTTCTTTAAATAATCTTAAAGTATAAAAAAAATAATAAATAAATAATAAATTTAAAAATTATAATTTAAGATAATTAATTTTTAATTAAAAATTTTTATAGAAGATTTCCACGGGGCTTTTCTAATAATTATAAATATAATATATTAAATATTAGTTAATCTGTATAAATAGTTTCAGAAATTAGATTTATATTGTAATTAATAATTATTTAAATTTTATAAAAACTAGATTAAATTATAGTAATCTTTCTCTAAAGATATATTATTTAAAAATATAATATTAAATTCTTGATTAATACTATCTTTAAGAATAGTTATTAGAAAATCAAAGTATAGATAGATTTTATAAATAAATCTTTTAAATTTAGTAAAATATATAGTAAATTTATAATTTTTTTATTATAAATATAATCAGAATTCCTAAAGATATATTTAAATATATTTAAAATATTTATAAAATTATTTAGAGTATAATTATCATTTTATATAAAAAAATTGACCTAGATATAAAGAATCTTATCTAATTAATTATTTATATAAGTTTTATAAATAAAAATAATAGTGTAATTAATAATTATAATTAATATTTATTTTTAATTTAAAAAATAAAATAGTCTAAAATTAAATAATTATTTAAAAAAAATAAAAATAAAAAATTTAAGATTAATTAATACAGTTATTCCTATTAAAAAAATTATATATTTTTTAATAATAAATTCTAAGATTAAAGCAGGAGTACTGACTACTAATATAATAAATTATATAATTTTAATATATTTAACCAGGATTTAATTCTTTTTTTTTAATAATAATCTTTTTTATAATTAAAATATTAATTAATTAATAGTTAATTTCTATAATTTATTAGGTCTAGTACGTAGTTATTATATTTTATATATTAAAGTTCTATTATAGGAAGTCTCATTCACTAATGATCTTTATAATAAAGATAAAGATTTGTTTATAATAATTATATTATTCTTTAGAATATTGAGAAATATATTAGACTAGTTTATCTAATTTACTAAAATTAATTAAAGATTATAAATTAGTAATTATTTTATAAATCTATTATCCTAAAAAAGGAATTACGTAATATTAAGACATAGATAAATAGAGATAATAGAATAGTAGATTCTAATAAGTAAATAAGATTCTAATAATACTAATAACTAAGATTTTAACTAGGTACTAAGCTAGCTATTTATCAAGTTATATATAAATAAATAAATAAAACATAACTTAAGACTACAGACAAGGTTCAGGAGATAAGTAGCTTTTAACTATATCTAAGATCACGTGCTAGGCAGTAAGGCTCAGTAGTATTCCTCTCTTTCTGGCTTAGGGGGTTGCACCATGATAAATATAAAATTATAATTTATAATTTAATAATTTAAATATAGTAATATATTATAATATTAATTTATTAATTTAGATTGATTATTGTTAATATTAATATTTCTAGAGATATTTAATAATTTATTTATTTGTGATAGAACGGTCCGGATGGAGGCCTTATTGGTACCGGCCTGACTGATGTTCTAGTCCTGTAGTAATCTAGCCAGTATGATCTGGGTTCTCAAGGTAACACACTGGGATGGTTATAGAAGTTATAAGATTATTAGTAGTAGTTCAGGATTTTCTTACTTACTATAAGATAATATTTTCTAGTATTAGACTACTAATTCTCCAAGAATTAGTCTCTATCTTGTGGATATAGATTATATTATTATTATTAGTAGAATCTTATATGTTTAATAGCTAGTTTCTTATCTAGTTAATAGGCCTTTTATTTTAATAAATAGATCCTATCATATTTTGATCCTTTTTCTTTTAACTACTTAAGAAAGATGCTACTTCTTGAAAATTATAAAAAAATAAAATTAATTAATAACCGAACTAATTTAGAACTATCATTAAATATTATTCCTACTATTAAAGAAATTTAATAATTAGAAAATTATATTTATTGGTTGGAGTAAGCTAATAATTTATAATAAAAAATAGTCTATCTCTAGGAAGATTATTCTTCTAGTAAAATATTATTTAAATATTCTCGATCCTTCTCTGAATCTGATAAGGAAAAAAAAGAAATTAAATTTAAAAATATTTTTTACTTTATATTAAATTTTAATCTTTAAAAATATTAAAAATAGATTATTAATCTAGAATACATATTTTAAAAGATTTTTATAAAATATTTTATTAAAGAATATAAGATTTTTATTGCTGTTAGCTACATAGATCTAATATATAAATAAAAATAATATTATTTTATTAATAATAAAAATCTAGAAAAGAGATGATTACTTAAGAAATTATAACTTTAATTTAAAGATTAAATTCTTATTTTAATTTAAAATGCTGCTACTTTTTAGTCAAATATTATAATTTAATTTAAATAAATTTATTAGTGATATGGTTAAGACCTAAAAAAGTTTTATATTTATTTTAATATTTTAGAGTAATATTTTCCCCGTTAGAGTGAGAAAGAAAAAATTCTATTATATTTTATTAAATTACTATTAGATTTAAATTATTATATTTAAGAATACGTTCTGCATTTATCTGAAGAATAAAAAAAAATAATATCTATTATTACTTATTACTATAAATTATAAAATAATAGAGAAAAATATAAGTAAAATAATAATTAATTTAATAATTATAGATTATACAAGCGAATTTTAAATTATTATAATAATAAATCTGTTACGGACAATATCTTAAATTATAAAAAAATTTTTATTAGAAAAACTAGTAAATAATTATAATATTTTATATATAATAATATTTAATATCTTATAAATTATTATTTTATTAAGAATAAAAAGATTTAATTTATTAAGGTCTACTAGTTCTCATTAAAACTAGAGGAAAAAGTAGAGAAGTTAAAATAAATCTTATAATTTTAATTTTCTTATTTATAATAAAAATTATTTATTATTTTTATGTTCTTATTTATATCTAAAATAGTATTAAAACTTTTATAGACTTAAATAGTTATGCTGAAGTAAATATTATTAACTATTAATTTATTAAAATTTATAAACTTTAATATACTCTAGTCACTATATTTAAGATTAAAATAATTAATTAATTTAACACTTCTATTTATAATATATAGAAGATTTTTATTATTATTATTAATTCATGAGGAAATACTCAAACTTTTAAATAATATTATATAAAAATTAATAAAGATTCTTAGCTGAATAGCAGCTTTATTTTATTATTAATAACTATATTTTAAGATTTATCTATCACCTTATTAGCATGAAATTATTTATAATAATTTAATATATTATTAATATTTTTTTTATTACTAAATTTATTAAAGTAATTTAAAATTTAGTAAAAATATACACTGTTATTAAATTTTTTAAAAATATCTAACTATTTAAAGAAGAACTTTATAATCTATTATTAAATCTAGAATTATTATTAATTAAATTCTACTAATTTCATGATATTTTCTTTATAAATTCTTTTTAATAACTATCTCTTTATAGCCCTGTAGACTATGCTATTAATCTTAAATCTAATAAAATATTTTTATATAATTTTATATACTTTCTTTTAAAAGCTGAACTTAAAGTCCTACGGAAATATATTAAAGAAAACCTAAAATTAAGTTAAATATAGTTTTTTAAAGGTCCTACGGGAGCTCCTATTTTTTTATATTTAAAAAAAATAGTAGTTTATACTTATGTGTAGATTATAAAAGTTTTAATAAAATATTTATTAAAAATTACTATTTTTTATTTTTTATTTTAAAGATCCTTAATAGAGTTTTAAATAATAAATATTTTTTAAAGATTAATATCAAGGATGCCTACTACTGAATTTATATTAAAAAAATAATAAATTAAAAATAATATTTTATATTTAATATAGTCATTTCAAGTATATAATTATACTATTTAAATTAACTAATACTCTAGTAATTTTTTAAAATTATATATATACTATACTCCGTGGACTTTTTAATAACTTTTATATAATATATCTAGATAGTATCCTTATCTTTTTACTAAATAGAAAATCTTATATAAAATATATTTATTAAGTACTAGAAAGACTTCAAGAAATTAAATTTTATATAAAATTATTAAAGTACTTATTTTACTAATCCCAAGTCAAATTTTTGGAATATATTATTAATATTAATAATATATCTATAGATCTCCGCTGAGTAAATAATATTATTTTATAATTATTATTTAAAAGTTATTATAATATTTAAGTTTTTTTAAGATTTTGTAATTTTTATTAATAATTTATTTAAAATTATTTTTATATTATATTATTTTTTATCTCTTTACTTTGTAGAGTAGTTAATGGATAAAAATTAAAGAAAATTTAATTAAATTTATATAAATAAACTATTTTTTACTGTCTAATTATTACCTTTTAATAAGTATTTTTATTAATATATTTTAATTTTATAAAACCTTAATATTTAGAAACTAATACATCTAAAGAAAGAATAAATAAAATTTTATTTTAATTTAATAATAAAAATATATTCTATCTAATTATTTTTTAGTCTTGTAAATTCTCCAGTATTAAACTAAATTATAATATTTTAAATTAAAAATTATTTATTATTATTTACTCTTTTAAATAATAGCAATAATATCTTGAGGGGATTTCTTAAATAATTAAAATTTTATTTAATTATTTAAACTTATAATCTTTCATATGTTAAACTAACATTAATAAAAAATAAATCTAATAGTTTATAAATCTAATTTCTTTTAATTTTATTATTAAATATAAAATAAAAAAATTAAATTTAATAAATAGATTCTCCAGAGTACTTACTAAATCTTAAATAAAGTCTATTTTTTAAAAGAAATTTTTAGTCCTGATTTAAGAGTGTTTCATAGGTATGTTATCTTTAATAATTAAAGATTTAATAAATATAAAATTCTAGTTTAAATTTTAAAATATATAGAATTATTTTAGGTTTGATACCCACATAATATTAAGCTTAAAGGATCTTAATAGTTGAACTAGTATAGAGATAGCTGACTAGATTATTTAAAAAAATTTATTCTAAAAAAGATTTATTTTTTAATTTATAATAATATATATATATACTACAGAAATTCTATACTCGGATAAATATAATTTTAAGCTTTAAAAAATAATCTTGTGTTTATAAAATAAAAGTCTAGAGATTTAATAATAAAAAATTACTATTTAATAAAAATAATTAGATTAAAAGTATTAAATTATTAAGATTACTAGTTATATCTATTTCAAAGACTAATTTTATATTTTATTTTTTAAAATATTATGTTAAATGTTTATCCATTTATATTATAATAATCTATTAATAGGATATTTTAGAAAGACTTAAATAAAGATTTTATTATATAAAAAGTTCCACTGGAGTAGACTGCATAAGAATATAATTAAATATATTTAAATTTATTTAATATATTAAGATAATATAGTTTTAAAATATTAATTATATAATAATCTTAAATCCCTATTAATTTCTTTTTTTTATAGAATTATTAATAGATTTTATTACAGGATTGCCTCTAATTATCTAATATAAATAAATTATTAATTTTATTTTTATTATTATTAATTAATTTTTAAAATATTATTTTTTTTTACTATTCTATTAACTATAATAGTTCTAAATCTGGCTGAACTGTTCTATCAACAAATTAAACTAGTATTTAAATTTTTTAATAGAATTATATCTAATTAAAGTTTAATATTCACTAGTAAGTTTTAATCTAATTTAAACTATAATAATTATATAATTTTAAAGCTTTCTACTGTGTTTCATTTATAAATTAATAACTAAATAAAAAGAATAAATTAAATTTTAAAATATTATTTAAAATATTACTCTACTAAGTTTTTTATAAATTAGGTTGTAATATTACTAATTGTTTAATTTATATATAATAATATAGATAATATAATTACTAGATAATTATTTAATAAAATTTTTTATAATTATTTACTAGATTTTTATATTAGAATTAAGAATGGTTCTTAATAGTAAAAGATCCTAATTATATAGGATGGAATTAAAAAGCTTAGGTAAGTAAAAGAATAACTCTAAAAAATATAATAAATAATTATAAAAAAGTAAAAGGAATATTATAATAAATATAAAAAGTTATTTTATTTTAAGAAAAAAGACTTAGTCAAAGTTATTAATTTAAAACCTATAGTTTAAGGGATCGAGAAAGCTGGCTTTAAAATTTATAGAATCTTTTTAAATTTTAAAATAGATTAGATTATAAATATATTATTTATATTTATCTAAGAAATATAGATAAATCTATAATATATTTTATATCTCATTATTAGAGCCATGGAATATTAATATAAATTATAAAAAAATATTACTAATACTAAAGCTAGATGATGAGAAAGAATAGAAAGTTAAAGAAATTAAAAATTATTAATAATATAATAACTAAGACTATTATTTAATTAAATAAAAAGAATAATTTAGTAAATATAATTAATAGATTTCTAGTAAAAGTATGGTTAATATACAAGAATATATTAAAAATTATTAAAAGAAATATTAAAAATTATTAAAATTAATAAAATTACGGAAGACTATTACTAAATAATCTTTATATTAAATATATATATTATAGATATATTAAGTCACATAATTTTTCCTTAATTTTTCTAACTATAGGCTAAATACGCTAAGAAATATATTATATTATTTTATATAAAGTAATAAAGAGTATTTATATATATTTAACTAGTAATATTTCCAAACCAATACTAAAATATTAATAAATATTAAGTATTAATATATCTATTAAATAATGGAAATATGTACAGGGAAACTATTATAAATAATCTAAGTTTTTAAAATTATTATTATTTTTTCTTTATTCTTTAAATTATTCTCTAAATCACTGTTAGAGGATGTTAAAATATTAAAGAAATATTTATAAATTATATTTATAATCTCCTGAAATAAAATAATTATTATTATAATTTATATAATAAAATCCACATTTTCTAGTAATAAATATAGAAAAATTTACTTATTATACTAGCAGAGCTCTAAATATATTATATTAATATTAGAATAGGAAAATTAGTGCGCCACAGTATTATATTATATAATTAAATATTATTAATATCTATAAATATCTATCTAATATTTAGTTAATGAATTATTTTAGAAAACAGTTATTTATTAATTTATATTTTTTTTTAAATCTTTGAGATAAAGACTTATAGTATAAATAGTCTCTATATTTTTAAAAATTTTTATAAGATTAAAATTACTGGTATACAAGCGTATATATAATTTATTATTCTAATCTTTAATCTTTAGTAACTTGTTAAGTTATTAGAAAATATTTACTAAATTATAAATATTACTTAGTATTTCTATCGATATCTAATTATATTAATAAATAAATAATATATTAACATATAGAATATTTATAAAATTATATTTCTTATTTCCCTTATAATAGCATTGGTAAAGGATTGAAGTCTTACTATTAAAAATATAATAAATAATAAATAGGATATTAGCAGTAGTTTTATATTTTTTTAAATCAGATTAAAGATAGTATATATAGAAAAAATATATAGGTTTAATTATTATATTATAAGTAACATAATACTTCACGGTTCTACGGGAACGAGATATCGTGATAAAATCTTTAAATAAATAATAATAAAAAATCTAGAGATATAATATAGACGCTAATAATTAAAAGAATATAATATTTAATAAAAAAAGCTATCGCGAGAGACAAGAGAAGTATAAAGAATGAAAAAAAGAAATAATAATATTAATACTAGTATTATAGTGGGCTATTATTATATTAGAATAAAGCTATTTACTAATCCTAGCTATAATAATAATTATAATAAATATAAATATATTATAGTATTTTATACTCCCCTCACTCTACGAGAATATATTAATAATTATCTTAAGGCTTATTCCCTGCTTTTCACTATAATCCTATTATAAAGCTATTTATATACAGCTTCCCAAGCCAGAAGGCTCGGTTCAGTAGAAGAGAGGATAATTATAATAGAACAGTCTAGATGGAGGCCTTATCGGTACTAGCCTGACCGATATTCTAGTCCTGTAGTAATCCAGCTAGTGTGATCTGGGTCCTCAGAGTGACGCACTGGGATAGTCATAGAAGTTATAAGATTATTAGTAGTAGTTTAGGATCTCCTTATCTATTATAAAGTAATATTTCTCAGTGTTAGATTACTAATCCTCTAAGGATTAGTCTCTATCTTATAGATATAGGCTATATTATTATTATTAGTGGAATCCTACACGTTTGGTGGCCAGTTCCTTACCCAGTTAACTGGCCTTCTATCCTGACAAGTAGATCCTATCACATTATTATTTATTTTATATTAAATTTTAATTTATAAAAATATTAAAAAAAGATTAATATGAAATATATGTTTTATGAAATATCTAAAAAATGTTTAATTAAAAATTATAAGATTCTTAGAATATTATATATCATATAATTATTTATTATTAATAATATTTGTCATGGTGCCTGCCTGCCTGGCTACCTGAACCCGTGTGGTTGCCTGAATCCTGCCTGAATCCTGTTCCTGAATACCCTTATATAGCGTGCGCAGTGTAAAGCCATTAGCTTTACATCCTAGTCCTTTTGCTGATAGTGCAGCGGGAAGTACCTGGAATGCGCACCCAGTATGCCCCATAACAATATTATTAATATATTAAAAAAGGTCTAGAAAAGACTAATATTAAATTAAAATTTAAAAGTTTATTCTATAAAATAGATTTTTATATTAATATATAATATAATAATACTATAATTAA